GCTGGGCATGGTGTCGATGGTCCTAGTTCTATGGTATAAGAGGCCATGCGCTTGCATATTTCAAATCCTACCTTTCTAATAGGTATCGCTCCTGGAGAGCGAAACGTTGCCGCAATAAAATGTCACATTAGTTGCACTTGTGTCCTTTTACTTTACATATTGTCGGTAATTCTACCAACTTTATTACTATCAGTATGTCACCATTAAAGACAGCCTCATCAATATGGCCACTTGATACTGGAGTTCCGCAGGGAAGTGTCCTTGGACCCCTGCTCTTCCTCATTTACATCAATGATCTTCCAAACATATCCCAACACCTGAAACCCATTCTCTTTGCTGACGACACGACTTTTGTCATCTCTCACCCTAATCTTGCCACCCCCCCAACACCATTGTTAACGAGGAGCTGCTCAAAATATCGACTCGGATGACAGCCAATAAACTTACACTTAACACTGACAAAACCTACTATATTATGTTTGGTAGCAGAGCAGGGGTTGCGCAACTTAACACTAAGATCGACAATACTCTAATTGCCAGACATAATGAGGACAAATTCCTTGGCCTATACCTCGACAACAACCTAAATTTCATCACCCATATCCAACACACAACCAAAAAAGTATCCAAAACTGTGGGGATCCTTTCCAAGATACGATACTACGTGCCGCAAACTGCCCTTCTCACACTATACCATTAACTTATATATCCATACCTCACCTATGCTATCTGTGCTTGGGGTTCAACTGCAGCAACACACCTAAAGCCAATAATAACCCAACAAAAAGCTGCAGTAAGAATAATCACTAAATCCCATCCCTGGCAACACCCCCCCCCCCCACACTTCATAGATCATAACTTACTCCCTGTTCAGAACATCCACACTTACTACTGTGCAATCTACATCTACAGGACCTTAAATTCCAATATTAACCTTGACCTAAAACGCTTTCTTGATAGTTGTGACAGGATCCACAGGCATAACACCAGACCCAAACATCTCTATGACATTCCCCGTGTCCGACTAAACCTTTGCAAAAATTCAATGTATTTCAAAGGACCTAAAATCTGGAACACAGTACCTGAAAACTAGAACTGCAGACACACTCATCACTTTCAAAACTACAGTTAGAAAACATCTTATCTCCCTGATACACCCCGACAACTAACTACATGTTAACCACCTGGTGGTTCACAATTACACTCACTCACCCACTGACTATAAACACAGAAATACTAATCTTAATCTTAAAATAAAGAATCCTAACTAGTCATAAGTTTGCCTATGATACTCCAATATAGACACCTTGTATTGTGCCAAAACAAAAACATTAACATTGCTAAACTCACAAATTATGATGTAGTCACTTAGCCTTAATACCATAATCTGTAAGGATTTAATAAAAAGGCCTGAGCTTGCTACCACCTGCAGCTCGCAAGACTGCCATCCCCACGAGCCCCTTTGGGGCGGGGCAGATGGCAGACCAGAGGCCTAGCTTCTCCCTACGAGCCCCGTGAGGGCGGGGAATGTGGCTAGGCCTGGGGACAGTTGGTCCCAAAGATGAGGGGGTACTTGTATCTCCTCCCATGGGAGACTTAAGTCTCGAGACACTCCCCAGATAGGGAGCCAAGGCCGGGTCACCACTACTTGGAAAAGACCCGGGCCGGGAGAATACCGGCGAATAAAAAAAAAAAAAAAAAAAAAAAGGATTTAATGTTAAGAATTAATCTAAGTCTGCCCGAAATGCCTTGCCATGCTAGGTGTCCTAGTGGCCCCCTCTGTAATTAGTATTTTATAACATGTAAACCACGTAATATCCAAATTCTGTAAACCCCACATTGTAACCCTTATAGAGAATAAACTTGATTTGATTTGATTTGATTTGATTTGATATGTGCCATGACCAGTGGCTACCCATTTTCTGTTTGCACGGCAGACTATTTTTTCATCTTTAAACTTAGTTTTTTCGTTGTAAGCTTACCTAGCCTACCGAACCTAACCCAACCTAAACAAATCTAACCTAATCTAACCTAACTTAAAAATGGGCAACAAACTATATAAAAGTGTAACAAAGTTATCAGCAGGACGAGAAACTTTCCTACCAGCAAACCTTCCTCTGAATATTTTCGGTTCTTTGCTGCATAACATTCGCACCAAACACTGATCTCAGTCACATCTTCACAGCTTCCAGCCTCCACGATGCAACATTCACAGATCATGTTTCACACCCGTTGAAAAGTGTTGATACTATTACTACTACTGCTCTAGCTGGGGGCTACCTGGAGGGTGTTCCTACTAACTACACCATTCTTGTATTCTTTAACTATCCATGGATAAACTTGTTATCTTCCATTAACTCCTCGACACTTCAACAACCTCTTCTCTCTCTTATATATTATTTAATCCATCTAATCCCAAATTTCTAATAGATTCATTCATTCACGACCCCCATAATCCATTCCTTGTATCTGATGGTTTATATTTCATTCCCTAAACAACTGCTTATTCTCATCACCTTGCTCTTTTCTACGCAAACTTTCAATTTCCTTCCTTTACACACCCTCCCAGGCTCCTCTACTAACCACTGGAACATCTTCACAACTTCACAAGAACACTGTAGCTAGTATAAATACAACTGTCTCACGAAATCGTAATGACACGATTGCAAACAAACCATACCACGGGCGGGGATAGGACCCACTGGTTCTGTTCCCTCCCGTTGTATGGTTTAAATACGACTGTGACAATACCCACTTTATATCAGATTCACCATGCCTCAAACCTACACCTCTCCTCAGCACACTGGTATTTATTGAGATAAAGATGCTATAACACCTCTCAGCACACTAGTATTCGCTTAGATAAAAAAATCTACAACACCTCTCTCAGCACACTAATATTCACTTAAATAAGCTATAAATGCATGAACAACCGCACTGACATCACACATGAAATAATCGTCAAAATTAACTCCAACAGAAAACCCAAAATGCGTCGGTATAAACCATTACGACCAGCCAAACGAATACATTAATCTCCCAACTAGAGACACGTCATTGTAAGGTCTGTGAATATTTCAACCTCAAAAATGGACTTCAAGTCATCAAATAAGAGACAATGTTTTGATACAAACTGCCTTGCTTTCTAGATGAGGGAACGAGGTGAGTTAAGACACTTGTGTATCGTGTTGACCACGATATTTATAACCATAAAGACTGAAGAGATAATTTTGTGTCAGGAAATATGCTGATAAAAAAGCATGTGCAACAGGATTGCAAACCAGTGTGTGGAGAGGATGAGCTCACAGATACTAGAAGTGTTTTCCAGCCACGTACCATTAAGATAAACGAAGAAAAAAATGTAAGTTAGAAAGAGAGAGAGATGCTGCCTCCACAGTCAAAGATGAAGAATCACAGAATTTCTCAAATGTCCCTGACTTTCTTATGAGCGAAAATAAATACTGTTTAGAGAAATGGGAAACATTATCTAAACCCGAATGCATCAGAGGTCAGAGGAACAACAAACCATCAAAAAAGAATTTTAGAAACCCAAAATACCCTTTTCTCATATGCAAACTCCAGGGCAAAAGCCACTTCCAATATTGGATCCTCACTTAAAGGAGAACCAGGAGAACCAAGAAATGAGGGAAATACTAGTCACACTACAAGTCTGTGTTCAGTGAGCCATTAATTACACTAATGACTGAGAGTCAAAATTATTTTTTTTTCCATGAATGAGTCCCATAACCCTGGCAACGTTTCTAAAATTTCTGACAAAACCTTAACATCACTTGACGTTGAATAGGCTCTTGATAATATGCCTATGCACTCTGCCTCAGGCCTATGCTCATGGAATTCCATATTGATCAAACAGTAAAAAATAACACATACCTAAAATATTCTAAGGCGATGGAATCTGCATACATAAGTCATCTAACAGTGATTAAGAATAATCACTGCAAAGATGGAAGTAAGAAAACACTGATAGTACAGATAGACCTGATAGTACTGATAGAACTGACAGTACTGACATCTAGTGATATCAGAATTTTTGAAAGAATTTCAAGAATTAAGACTGGTAAACACATGCAGTTAGAACAGTTGTACAACTCAAGGTAACACAGGTTTCCAGTAGGTCGCTCCTGCCTCTCGCAGCTCCTGGGCCATTACGACATGGTTCTAGATGCACTGAAAGGCAATAAAATGAAGAAGTAATGGACACAGATAAATAACAAAAAAAAAAGGCACAATACCGTGACTGGAACGATACACAAATAACCCGCACATAAAAGAGAGAAGCTTACGACGACGTTTCGGTCCGACTTGGACCATTTCCAAAGTCACACTTTGTGAATGGTCTTTGTAAATGGTCCAAGTCGGACCGAAACGTCGTCGTAAGCTTCTCTCTTTTATGTGCGGGTTATTTGTGTAATGGACACAGACTTTGCAAGAGCGTTCGTCAAGTGTAAAGACTTACGAGTGATAATATCAATATATCTTACGTTGAAGATTACGATGGTGTTCGTGTTACAGCCTCAAGAAAAATGATAGATTAGATAACAAACATCTTCAAAACGAGAGATGTTAAGGCAGTGATTATTACACTGTCACTTGAATATTATTCTATATTAATAGCCCCATTTCAGGCAGAAGAAATTGGATAAAGCCTTTACTACTCATTACATCGAATGACCCATCTTATTTAGCAAGAAATCTAAGAGCTGAGAGGAGTTTGTTAAGTGAAGAAAAGCGAGAAAAGTATTTCAGTGCAACATGCTCAGTGGTAGCTACTTCGGCACGCAACCAAAGGACCCGAGTTCGATGTTGGAGAGGGTGGAGACGTTGGGCTTGCTTCATTACACATGTTACCCCTCTTCACCTAGCAGTAAATATGTACCCAGATATTAGCTAATTAATGTGGGTCAGGTCTTGATGAGGCTGGGCTTTGAAATTAGGATAAGAACAAATCATTTTAACTTTTCATCCTTTTCTCCCTGTAGGCACGTTGTGGAAGTGGTAGGTGACACTGGTCCTCAGTGGTCAGGAGGGAGTGCCGGGGCATGTGAGGAGTGCCTGGCCAGGCGAGGACCTCCACACTCATACTGGCGGGTGTTTGAGAGACCACTGCAGCAGGTGGTTGCTGCCTTACATCGCCTAGACCGTCCCCTGGCACCTCCTGCACTGCGTGCTCACCTACTAGGCACCAGGACCTTGCTGCAACACCTAGCCTCAGCCCTGCACCTACGAGTCATGGACGCGGCTGACGACGACACAGACAGACGGGAGACGGAGGCGGCGCTGCTGGCGGCGCCCGGTAAGCCGCACGGACGCCTGGCTTGCCAGGAGCGATTCTTGGGCTCCAAAATTGGTTATCCGCGCTACGTGCAAGGCTTCTCTCGCGTTAACTGTTCCGCTTTGCCCCTGAGGGACGTCGTAACAGCTGTTTTGTGGGACGTAGAGCAGAAACACCTTATGAGTCTGCTCTCCGACTTTAATCGCATATATCCCGGGCTGCCTCTTCTTGTGGTCACGGACGTTAGAGTGCAGAGTAAACAGAATCTGGTGATAGAGCGACCTACACCATCAATAGCACAAGCTATAACAAAAGTACTGACTCGCGTGACCACGCCGTACGTGCTTCTTGCTCCGCGTTTATCTCAGCTGAGTGGCCACTCACGCTTGGAGAGGCTGGTGTGGGTGGCCGAGTGGGCTGGGGTGTGGGCGGTGGGTGGCTCGCTGCGGGGTGTTGACGGGCGGTGGAGGGCGGGGTGCCTTCAGGCTAGGGAAAGCAAGGGACAGCTGGTGTATGAGAGAGGTTACGACGCTTCTCTCTACGAGTGCCAAGTGTGCCACACGCTAGAGGGGCCACTGATCATGAAGACAGCTGCCCTGGCCACCCTACACTGGCCCAGCAGCGCCACCCCACACCCGCTGCTCCTGCCGGAACTCTTCCTGCAGGTCCATGCAGGGGCAGCGCCGTACCAGCACGCAGCAGCAGTATGCCCTGATGCCATGTTCCTCGTGGCCTCGCTGGAGCCTCCCTGGCAGGCAGCGTTGCAACCCCGCCACCAGGAGCCAGAACTGAGGCGTGTGGCGGCACTCTGGCACCCGCTGGTCAAGCAGCGGCACCTGGCCCGTCTGCAGCTGCCCTCAGGGGTCACTATCAACTACCCATGTGACTTTCTCCCCCCAGTGCGACCCAGATATACTACCCGGACGTCACCTACACCCGCTGATAAGACCACTTCTGCAGCGTGGGCGTGCGAAGGACGTGAACTTACCACCATACTCTCAGTAGTCTTGCAGGCGTGTGATACACTATATGTCAAGTGTTTTCTGTTACATCCGTCACTCTCAGGTGAGTCGTATCATACTACTGATGGTTGTTCAAATAGTTTACTATTGTCAACGAATATTAATCACTCTTCTGTAATGCTACAGATTTTTTTAATAAATCTACAGTTTCTCTTACAGTGCTAATTAAATATACTTATACTTAGTGTTTTTGTGAGTTATTTTTTGCGATACTGTTAAAAATGTATATTATAGGTAGCGGAGTGTGAGAGGTGAATTGTACATCAGAGAGAGTGAACCAGATGTGAGGAAGTGTGTAACTTGCTGCTAAGTCCGATAACTTATTCAGAATTCTTACCCAATAAAGCCTACTTGCCCACAAGACCTTTAAAATATGTTTCACGCTAAGGGACAGATGTTGAAACAGTAAATATTCGCTCACTAACTTCAAATATTTTGCATCTTGCAACAAGTAAAACACAAAGTAATTTAATGTTAACAAATTCACATTTTCTTTTTCACGTCCCAGTAAGTACCACAGATGCCATAAAATACTAAGGCAAAGTAGCCAAGGCCACGAGCAGACCGCTGACATGTGGCAACCATCAGCACTCGATAAGTGTTGGTGGTCGTGCCAACTGAGATCGACACCATGCCCAGCCCTTCTAGGGTAGGGTAGGTGCCTGAGCCAGAGCTTGTAGCTCACAGGATTGTCATTCCCATTAGCCCCCTTCGGGAGGGGATGGCAGACCAGAGGGGCCTATCTTCTCTGTACGAGCCCCGTGAGGGAGGGGAATGTGGCTAGGTCTGGGAACAGTTGGTCCCAACGATGAGGGGGGGTACTTGTACCTCCTCCCATGGCAGACTTGGGTCTCAGACACTCCCTTGACAGGGAGCCAAAGCCGGGCCACCCCTTGAAAAAGGCCCGGGCCGGGAGAATACCGGCGAATCAACAAAAAGAAGAATGGTATAAACCTTGGTAATAAATACCGACAAGTTGGTTTAGAAAGACACGTAAGCAAACACTGACATATTTATTAGAAAACGTTTCGGTCCTGGGACCATGATCACTTCTAACATACAGAGGTAGAAAGGCATTATATATATAGGCGGAGAGTGAGGTGTGACGCACGTGACCTGAGGAATGTCATAAGAACATAAGAATGGAGGAACACTGTAGAAGGCCTACTCACGTTGTTCAGATTAACGTAGGGTTACAGTTCATTCTACACCAGAGCACTGCTTACTCACGATGCATTACTCTAACAGAGTAAAGATCAAACCAGCGAGTGGCACAAACAATGAGTCGTCCAAACTAGCACTTGCAGCTGTCGTTAGTGGCAGGCTGCAAGTCAAATGTAATGCGATTTTATCGCTCAAAGAGGCCTTTGTTGTCGTCTGTACAGACGACACAGAGGCTGAGAAACTACTTACCACCACTGCTACTACCACTCTACGAGACCAGGGATTTCTTGTCTTGACTTCCCCAGCACTGAGGGCCAGGAGAACTGTGTTCCTCAAGCGACTCGACAACCTTATCACTGTACAGGCCACTGAAGAAATCAAGTCATCTATCGAAGCAAAGAACCCTTGGGCCAAGGTGGACTTCATTACTAAAATACCCAATGCTTCATCCATGCTGAAGGTCACCTTCAGTGACGTCAACATGGCAGCCAGAGCTCTCGCTGAGGGCCTGGCTATTCACTACTTCCACATCAACCCAGCCTTCATCGAAGCAGGAGAATTCCAACATATCCCACAGTGCTATAATTGTTACACTACTTACACACCACAAATGATTGTCCTACCAAGGACAAGAAGTTCTGCTCCACCTGTGGCCGTGAGGGTCACGACTTCAGAATTGCACTACTGCTTCACCACCTAAATGCTTGAACTGCAAGAATGACCACCATACTCTTGCTGCCAGGTGCCTACCAGAAGAGACATACTCAGAAACAACAACAACAAAGAAACCCAACCCACAAGCAACCACATATTCTGCTATCGCCAAGCTTCAAGCAGACACTACCAAGATACTACATGCCACGCAAGCTGCTCCCACCACTTCCCTGCCAGCACCTACTGCCGACTCCACCAAGATTCTTGTTGCATTATGTATGCTCATGTACAGAATGCAGCTGAGCTGGTTCCTTCAACAACCACCATCAATGAACTTTTCAAACTAAATAATATGCCTGGCCTCACATTCCCTGCATCACCACCTTCCACTGAGATCCTAAAATCTACTGCAAATATTACCAGCATCACCGCTGCTCCACCGCTGTCACAACCTCCACTAGACACAGAGATGGACCAATCAGAGACCTCTGAGACGTCGGCAAAACCCACCAATGAGAGTCCACTACCGCTTTCATCCACTGCTAGAGCAACTGACCAGTCGGAAATCTCGCCTTCACCAGTTCAGCCACCAGCAAAAACACAAGACACTGCGGATGCACCTCACGGTGCCACTGTCACTGACACTGCTGCACCACAACGGGTCCGATATCTGAAGGGCGTATACTTCTATACAACCAAGGAGTATAAGAACACAATGCTGTCTTCAGAAATCCATCATCACCTCCAGGACGGAACAGTCAAGTATACCTACGACCAAACTGCTACTCACTGCCAACACTGAAGACATGACCAGACTACTCACTGCCAACACCCAACACCTTGTGGAAGTCAAGTACACCTCAAAGAGGAAATTCAGGATGCTTCAGAATAGGGACCTTGAAGACGGTACCCTCGTCTAGCACGACTATCCATGACCATTCACCCAGCACTTTGCTGTCCGCTAAAGCTGGGGTGTGGCTCCAATCAACCCTGTAACTGCTGCCTCTGCACAAGATAGAAGAAGACGACATCCTCCAACCGGAGGGCCAAGAAAGAAGAAAGATGATTATCGTCACCCCCCACCCGGGGGCCACTGCCGGGTCACCATCTGGAGAAGACCTGGGCCAGAAGGACCTGCGAATCAACATGAATGAAAATGAACACCAACACACGACACTCCACACAGGAGAGCACAGCGCTAGCACGATCGACACCATGCATTGCCCTTCTAGGGCATGGTTGGTGCCAGAGCCCGAGTTTGTACCTTACAAGATGAGGGGGTACTTGTGCCTCCTCCCATGGGAGACTTAGGTCTCAGACACTCCCTAGACAGGGAGCCAGTGCCGGGCCACCACTTGGAAGGGCCCGGGCCGGGAAAATACCGGCGAATCTTTAACAACAATAGAAGGCCTACTGGCCCATGCGAGGCAGGTCCTTATCAAAACAACCTCTGCCTATGATGAAGAGGTAGACGTTGAAATCATGTGACTCCTGTGTTGTTGGGTTGGTGGTTCTTAAGTATCATGTATGCCAATGTTTTTGAAATTTTGTAGTTTCCAGTGTTGCGTTCTATAGTGTCGGTGACGGCGATTAGTGAGGCTTCTAGGCACCGTCGGCGTCTGAGGTCTGGTTCGGTGAGAACGAGTTGTGCCTCATTCCAGTTCATCCAAATTGTCCCGTGGTGTCTCTGTGGAGGACACAGGGCGTACCTTAACATCGTCTCTGTTAGAGGCATTTCGATGCTCATTCATAGCGGACTGCAAGATCTCTGCCTGTCTCGCCTAATATTTATTGGGACAGAACCCACAGGGGGATAGTGTAGGACGACTGCTGTAGAAGTTAGGGTGTGGGCTGCGTTTCGTAGTGGGTCTTTGATAGATGATGTGTTTAAGGTGGAACGTTGATGTTATCATAGCAAAGTGCCGGCGAGTATTCGTGGCAAAACATCACCACATGGGAACAGTACTATGATACTGCTTTAGGGGGGTGTTCCATGGGCGGTTTGTTGAGAATAGCTTGTGGTTTAACTTGTGTAATAAATACGAAAGTTGGTTTAGAAAGGACACGTAGCAACACTTATAACATATTTATTAGAAAACACGTTTCCCCGGTCCTGGGACCTTTGATCACTTCTAGAAGTGATCAAGGTCCCAGGACCCGAAACAGTTTCTAATAAATATGTTATAGTGTTTGCTTACGTGTCTTTCTAACCAGAATAGCTTGTGCCTTAAGTCTGCAATCGCGGATGAAAGGGAAGATGGGAACTGAAGACAAGGGCGGAGATGCGAAGAGGCTCTCAAGAAGAAGCAATGAGGACTCCTCTCTTAGTGCGGTGTCTGGTGTGAATAAAAGTGTATAAGATCGTCCTTGTTGGTAGGTTTCTTTAACACTTTGAAGAAGAAGTTTGTCACTGTCGGGAGATTGCACAGTAGAACGTCGAGGACAAGGAAGTTTGGCCATCATTTTCGAGTTCAAGTGTAAACTTTATTGATGGGTCAACTGCATTGATCTTGTTGAGAAGGGCGCCTGGATATTGAGACGTCTCGGATAGAAAACGATACTCATCAAACGTATCTTAGCCAGGAACGTGTTGGAATGAGGGTGCTGATTCTCTGCTCCTCCATGTTTTCTGAAGAGGTGGCAGGACACAGCACTGAGCGGGCTGCCCATTGCCATCCCAAAGCACTGTTTGTAACAGTTTGTCCTGATACTTGAAGGAAGTTGAAAATAACTCAAAGTTCCACTAGATTGATGGAAGTCTAGCAAGAGGTAAAGGGAGGTCGTGGTTTCCAGTGAGCCTCTGTCTCAGAATGTTGATTGGCAGCGTCAGTTTGGAACGTTGGATGAAGGGGGCTTGTGACATCGAAGGAAGCCATGCTTTTTGTTTTGACCTTCAGGTTGGAAATTCGGAGAGAAGGTCAACCTGACTGTGCTTGATGTGTTGTGCTTGACTGATGGTGCCCAGAAGCGCTTGAAATGTATTTGGCAAAGTTGGCCGGCTAGTCTGTGTGGTGCACTCCCCTAAGACCCGAAGTGATAGGCCGTAGTGGGGGATGCCAGGTTTGTGTGTCTTGGAAGGCCATCAGGACGTGCTGGTTTCGAGTTGACCGGGTAAAAGTTTAAGTAGATTTTTTGCCTTGTTCTGATTTTCGTAGATGCTACGAGCCTTTTTGAAGAAAAGTTTGGGTACTTTGAAGTAGCAATGTTCTGATACAGGCTGGTTAT